GGTCACGACCTGAGCCGAAGGCAGACGCTTAACGACTGAGCCACCCAGGCGCCCCAATCTTTAAAAAAATCTTAAATTAGGGCGCCTGGGTGGCTCAGTCGTTAAGCGTCTGCCTTCGGCTCAGGTCATGATCCCAGGGTCCTGGGATCGAGCTGGGGGGCTCGATCCCAGGACCCTGGGATCATGACCTGAGCTGAAGGCAGACGCTTAACGACTGAGCCACCCAGGCACTCGCCTTTCACTATTCTTAGCAGTGGTCTCATTGGAGTCCACATTGGTTCCACGGTACTTCCGGAGTGCCTACTGTGTGTAAGACACTGTGTGCTGTGCCAGTGAGAGTGATGGGGTTGAAACAGCCGTGGGATAGGAGAAGGCATCTGTGAGGAGGTGTTTATAGAAGCAGGATCCAAGGTCATGAAGCCTTTAAGTGTCCTAGCTTTTCCTTTCTCAGATTAAGTCTGGCCAGTGAAGGTCAGAGTCCTCTCCTCTTCCCTAAGTTAGGGAGGGTGGGGAGGTCAGGAAGAGCTGACGGAAGCTGTGGACTCCCACGTGAGAGAAGGTGCACACCCATGGAACTCCCGCATACAACCGCATGGGTGCATGGACCCCGTGTTTCTGACCAACCAGATGCTCTGTGCTAATCCCAGAAGGGCTTTTCCCAAGAGTGGCAGAGGGGGCCTGTTCTTGTGAGTTCTCCTGCTTTGCCCCGGATCTCAGACCTCCTTACTTTCCTCAGAACAGAAGGGAACAGGTAGTTGCAGGAGGCAATGGCACGCTTGCTGCAGTTCACCCTCCCAGAGCTGCCTCTGGAGCCCAGGCAGATGGTGAGTGGGCGTGAGGGCTGGCTGGCACTAAACCAACCTCCTTGGAATGAAATATCTCCTGACTGGTTCCTCATAACCCTAAATTTGTGAACATTTAACCTCACAGAAAATACAGTTCCCCGAGCCACATCTCTCTCACAAGTCAACAAACTCATGGACCTTGAAGATTTCCCTGGGCCCTTATTCAGTTAGGGTGTCCTTTCCTTTGTGTCACAGGTGAGTGACTTCCAGCATCATTAAGGACCTCAAATGGATGGAACTACAAGCCACATTGCCCATAGATAGCTCATAGAGAGCCTTGTGATAACCTCATGACCCATAGATATCTCATTGATATCATGATAACCTCATGACCCACAGATATCTCATTGATATCCTCATGATAACCTCATGACCCATAGATATTTTCTATAGATATCCCATAGAGAGCCAGGGCCATATCCAGGAGACTCATGGTCTCTACCTCTCCCTTGTCCTATGCTTCTGCTTTGGTCTCTTCCTTGCTGTGAGACAGTTCTTTCAAAGGTTTAAGATGCAGAATAGCAGGTGAGGGGCAGGAGGTAGGAAGACAGATGGGAGATTAACGAGCTTCCAAGGTGTTCCTAAGACCCCATCACTTCCTCAGCAAGCAATGCTTGGCAGCCCTTGGTGGGTGATTCTCTGGTCTGTCTGGCTCTGGCCTGAGAGGAAAGCACCCCTTTTGTTTTCTCTTTTACTTTCTCCTCTTTATTCTAGGCCACCTACTTTTGGGGGCAGACTGGGTAGACAGCCTACAATGCTGGGTGACTCTGAAGTAGGGCAATGCCTGGAGTGATGAGATTGATGTCTTAAATCAGCTGGAATGGAACTATTAAGAAGAGAGAGAATAAATAAAGACGTATTTTTAAAAAATGACCTAGATTGCTGACACCCTTATTTAGAGATGAAAAAAGATAGGTTTTCTCAAACCATTAAAGCTATATGTTTCTTAGGTCTATAACAAAGGAAGCTTTGTGACTTTTCTAAGGAAGGCACATATTTAGGCATCTTGATGTCCACCATCTGCAGCCATTGCAGCCTCCAGGCCCAAGGACTAACAGGATGACCCCAGCCTTTGCTGAAACACATACCTTATTATTCCTAGAATCCATAGACAGACCAAAGGTGATACTGAATGAAAAACACAGAAAGAACCTTCTGAAAACAATATCTAATTCCTTGAGGGCAACCTCAACCTTAAACCTTCAAATCCAACATACATTTTTTTCTCCAAAAAAAGAAAAAATAGGAGGAACAACACCTCCTGGGTCCTAGTGCACCAAGGCCACTCTCGATCCTAGCTCATTTCCATGAGTTTTCAAGTTGTGGCACTTTCTCCTATAAGGTTCATGACACAGGCACTGTGGATTTAAAAAGACTAAACAGTTTCAACGAATGCCAAGAGGGCTGTCACTTGACATCAAAGGTAGGAGGTGCAGACCCACAAAAATCACAGTGCTTTCCACAAAGCATAATTAGAGGACAGCGTTTGCTGCTGCCATGAATGCCAGTGCCCAGGGTGATGGCTCAAAAATCTGTGACTACTCTTGACCTTTGTCACCTTGCTTGTGGACACAGGGTTTCCACCCATGGTTCAATGAGTGAGCAGCAAGTCCGACAAGTTTCATCTGACTCCTTCCTGCCCCTGCACCTGTTTATCATTATACATGGAAAACCTGTGAGTGCCTTAGGGCACAAGTTAAAGCCTGGATCATGTGGGGGAAGACACCAAAAGGCTCTTACCATGAAGGCAAGCCAACATATTTAACTCCTTGATCTATTTTTAAAAAGTCCCTGAACTCAGATGGGATCATGCACTGACATCCTAGGGGAAGTTAGAGAGTGTGACTAGAGTGGTGGCCCCAGGTATGAACACCTGTGTAGGAGACAGCTGGCTCACAGCCAAAGGAAGCCCTGCTTATTTGTCCTGGACAGCCACCAGATGTGGGGTCAAATTTGATGTCTATGACTGCACCTCTAGGCAGGTGGCCTTTCAGACCCTTAGGAGAGAACACTTAGGGGAAGCTGAGCTGTTTCTTGGTTCTGTTGAGAGAACCTAAAATACAGTTCTCTCCAATCTCCCCAAATGTTATAAAGCTTGCTTTCCCCACAGGGAGGAGCCTCAAAGCCAGGGAAATTCCCCTCTTTCCCCGAAGTGTTCTGTGTCAATGCAGAGTTCTCCCTGAGTGTACTGCCATGGGCTAAGTCATGTTTTCTTATTTGGCCTCTATCTCTTCAATTAGATCCTAAATTCCTTGAGGGCAGGACTTCTCCCCATCCCTCCACCCCAGTCCCTACTCAGTCCTAGGAACATAGTAAATGCTCAATAAATGTTTGTTAAATAGAATTATTGAATAATGACTCATTTAATACCAGTGAAATGAATAAAATAAAACCTAAAAATAAAGTAAATAAAAGCATTGAGAGATGCTAATTTTCTTTCTTGATATGCTTATAAACAACTAGCTTATTGTCTAGATGACATTCTTTGTTTAAAACAGCATGGGCACTAAGTGGGGATCGCTCTAACAGAAACAGATTAAAAGTTAAGAACTGCAGGGTCCTAATAGGACCTACCACTTTCTCTGCTCTGATACCTGTTAAAGAGCTCAGGATGCTGTTTCTAGGTTACTTGAGGATTTTTTCCCAGCTCTTCGCTTAGAATGACTATTAGGTCATAAATAGAACTCAGCTCCATTTCTGCTTTGTTGATGCCTTCAGAGACTCATTTTCTATATTCTATAGTGAAAAGAGGTGGCTTTTTAAAGAAAAGATGGAGTGGGAAAAAATAGGGTAAAGCCTGAATCAACCTGCCTGGATATAAAAGACCTTTGTTATAAATGAGGGATGTTTCAGCAGCACCAAGAGCAGACACGAGTGGCCATCTCTCTTTCTCTCTCCCTCTCTCTCTCTCTCTCTGTGTGTATGAGAGTTTAGAAGGAATTATCTTCCCAGCATGTCCAGACATGTAAGTGGGACGACAAGACCAAGTGTGGAGCTGACAACTAACTTATGAAAGGTTAAAACATTAAAATTTTGTTCCCAGGGTCTCCTGCTAAGCCCAAACTAACCCAGATGCTACAAAGGACACTATTTGTAATTCCAAAAATCTTTTCTTTATATGATTTCTCATTAAGTATTCTTTCTAATCCTATTTTAGGCTCAATTTCTATTTTTTAAAAATCAGTGAAACAACTGATCCTGGAGAAACCAGTTGTGGCAGGGGGCAATGGGTGGTGTTGGAAAGAAGTGATCCCACTATGTTGGTGGTAGGTAGGGTGGGGTGTGAATCTAGGAAAACCTAGACCTGAGTGCTTTCACTATGCTGCACAGTATGTAATATTCTTGGGGGCCCTGGGTGAGGAGAGGTCAACAGAATCCTCCTGATGAAGGATTAATTATTCAGGCATCTAGATTCCTGAAGAGCCAGAAATGTGTATTCTTGGGTGATGCCTACTTCTAACTGCTGCCTCCCTTTCCCACAAGTCTCACATATAACCTCCTCCAGGTGTTCCAAACCCTGGGTAAGCGGTCATGTTATTTTGTTTCACAAGAGCATGGGGTTATCTCAAGTACAAACTCAGCACTGAACAGACACTTGATTGATGTTTATGCTATTCAACTGTGATCTGGACGCAGTGTGGAAGGGATAATGGTTTCAAACTGACCCTAGTCCTCAGACCACATCTAAGAATCCTTCAGATCATCTTGATTTAGCTGCCAATTCTTGCTTCAGGAAGGCATGTGCTCAAACCATAGAAGACAAGTAGTCTTGAATTATATGCAGAAAGTTAGGGGTGTTTGGTTAAAAAAAAAACCATAAAATCTGAACGTAGAAATAGAAACCAATCGTAATGCCATACAATATTGGATTCTTCCCTGTCTTGGTGCTTCACTGTTTCTAAAGAAGGCTGATACTTTTGTTTGCTCACCTTTCCCCACTATTTTAGGAGAGGCATGGACATTCTGAGAGTAAATGAAGAGGCTTTGGCTTAAGAAGCCATTGCCCAAAGAAACCACATCTCAAACTGAGTTTTGGCTTAGTTTCCAAATCCCCAATGTCCCCCACCCCTTACCCTGTCATCTACAGATTCGGTAAAAGAAATGTTTCAACAAATCGTTAATCTAGTTGGAGCCTTGACCCAATGTATGGTCAGTAGCTTTAACAGCTTGAGGAATTGTTCAGTATTACTTGGCTAAGTTTGATCTTACTTTTTAGTCCACTAACTCTTCAAACCATAACAATGGGATGAAATAATGGATGTCACAGAAAAAGCGAAATGGATTTGATATTATCCACAGTTGGAGGCAGGTGTCTGCTGTTTGCTACTGTTGACCTCCCTGATCCCTTCCATCCCAAGCTATATACAGTGATTGAATCAATTGCTTCTTTAGTGCTTTAATGGCTGATTCTTTCCCTAGGAACATCTAACCAGCTGTTTGATAGTTCAGAATGAACCAGATTCTGGGGTTTCCATTCATTGCTATACTTGAAAATCTTGGTTGCTCCCTCCAACACTCTCTAGACTTGCCCCTTGGATTTGAAGGGAAATGCACTGTTCTGAGTGGAAAACCCTACTTCCCCAATTTCCATGAAAACTATAGCTTCCTAGACTGGTTCAAATTCAATGGCATCAAAGCAGCACCATGCAGATTGAATGGGTTAGACTTCTAGGGGTTTTCAGACTCCAGCTTGGGCATCAGAATCACCTGGGAAGCCTTTCAAAATGTAGATACTGGGGCCTAACTTTGGAACTTCTCATTCACTGGCTTGGAGGGAAGTCTGGGCATCTTTATATTTAGAAAGCTCCATGTTTTATACTAAAGTACATTGAGATTTGAGAGTCTGTGGGTTTAGAGATACAGGCTCAGAGGCAAGAAGGAGGAATGCTGAAGTGGGGAGGAAGTAAGAGGGAAAGAGAAGAAGGAGGAAAGGAAGAAATGGCCATAGAAAAGTCCAAGCAATTAGAGAAATTGTCTGAAAGCAGGAGCATTGGGCTGGGAAGTGCTTCCATCACGAATACCCAAATATGAAGGTGTTTCAGTTTTAGGGGTGTGTGTGTGCGTGTGTGTGTGTGTGTATGCATGCACGCACACACACGCACACACACACACAATATAGCCGTTTGGGGAAGGTGCTGGGAAAATCAGAGAGACATGTCCCATGAGCCTGGGATTGTTCCTTCACCTCTGACACTTTTTCCATTCCCAGCCTGAGCTCTATCACACACACCCCAGGGGAGAAAGCACAACACAGCTGCTGCAAATTGGTAGTTGCAGTTGTGTGCTTCTTCTCATTCCCCACTCTGGCTGTCATTACGACAGTATTTCTTTGGGTCACATCTGGCTGGTGGGGTATCAATGACTTATGGTGGGGGAGAAGGAGGGAGTGAGGAAGAAAGATCACAAAAATACATCAGGGCCATCAGCAAAGTAAATTATACCTATTCCCCCAGGCCTACACCCACCCACCCACTGCCACCCTGCCCTCAATTTGCTGCCATGGAAGGCGTTCTCGTAGCAACTTAAAGCATGGGTTTGAAGCTCATGTGATGAGACTCTGAAGCATAGTTTCATATGATCATATGTTTTATGACCCATAGCAGAAACTGCCCATGTGCAGAAGGGTGTTTCTGCACATGGATTGCCAGAGGGATCTACCCAAGGTAAAAGGACCACTTGGGAATTTGATCAACTTTGCTAAGTGAAATAAATTTGCCTAAGCATAGTACATTCAATTCCCTCTTTTCCGCTTAGAAATTATGCAAAACCAGTTTTGTCGAGCATGGGACTAAAAAATGTTTTCCAGTGTTTCATTTTAATTTGAGGGAGAGGTGACTTGACCTTTGTCTTCTTTTCAAAGTATCACAACATAGCAACCCTACCATGGCCCGGTTCCAGCTGTATCACCATTATTCAGTTTAGATTTACTGTTTCTCTAGACTGAGCTTTTCAGTCTGAACTGGATGTTATTTATGTCTGAATCCTGTACCTAGGAGCTTCCCTGGCATGCAAGCAATGCTCAATAAATGTTTGCTGGGTACAAGGTTCTCAGGCAAGTTTCAAGTAGTCATTTGCAGAGAGGTATGTGCTTCATAGCAACACTGGGTTTCAGCATGTTGACCCAAACATAAAAACTGGAAAAAGAGGATTTTTGAATCAAGAGGACATGGTTCTTGCGAAAAAATTAAAAGATACAATACCCTGTATCACATCTCTGTGTTGTAACAAAACTCTTCTGATTTTAGGAAGAAGTCAACACCTCTCTTGGCATCAGTTCCTTTCTATCTGGCAGTTCTGTTCAATGGGAAGCCACTCGTTTCCCTCTCCCCCTTCCCTGCTTTAGCGTGTAGACACTATTCCCCAAGCAGACTCTTAGACTGTTTTCAGCATGGCCAAATAAATTTGACTATTTGCAAAACTCTGGGTGAGATGGTATTTTCAAGACTGGCAACAAGCATTTTTCACCCGAATGCTGGAGAACAACACTGGATTCTGGCAAGTCATTCCTCATGCTCAAGTAGGAGATCCTACAAAGAATTATATTTTCTGGAGCTTTTACAAATAATGGACTTGACTCTGCCAGAATGGAGACAGCTCAAATATGTTGTGTATATTTGTGTATCCCATAGGCAGAAATCTGGCACTTTGACAGCTTCTGGATAATAAAAGGGGCATCTTGAAGGGAAAAGAAGATTTACCATTGACTGGTTGACATATGCGTCACATAACCAGCAGAGTGTTTTGTTAGCAGTGAAAATTATGGCAATGTATTTGTCTGATGGACTATTCTAAAATGATAAGGTAGGATTAACATGAGAAATAGAAATATAATAGCATGCCATAATGCTAACAATTCAATAAAAATGGCTTCTTGTTAGAAGACCAGGCCTGACTTTTCTCATTAGCCCTAAAAATTAATAATTGTGCTCTCTAGCTCTCTTTCAGGGACAGATGCAAGACAAGGATGAGAACAGAAGAAACTCTACAGTTTCTACATGAAGGGGAGTTGGATAGAATCCTTGTGTCAGGTTTGGCCAACTCATTCACAGAGCATCAGCTGAGTGCCCGTATTTCTCACTACAGTAGGACAAACTTAAAGATGACATTTCTCTTAGGCTGGTGGGTGGACAGAGAGACTCATTAGGGTGCAAATTTCATGCTTTGTTTCTCAGGAAAGACCTGGAAGAAATCAAAGACATTCATCAACTATTCCATCAAGGTGTGTATGTGACCATAAAGTCATGGGGAGGGTGGAAAAGGGAGCTGTTGAGGAAAGTCTCACAGCCTTCTGGACTCCCTGCCTCTGCCCATCTCAAGCTACGTACCCAGTACAGCACGTCTGTCCAGCCCTCCATGGTGATGCACTGGAACACCGTCAACATGGCGAAGGCAAAATTGTCGAAGTTGGTGATGCCGTGCTTGGGCCCGTCCCACCCGGGCTTGCACACAGTGCCGTTCTGACACTGCCGCCCATGGCCTGTCTCCAGAGCACAAGGGGAAGGATCATCTTCTGCTGGAACATCTTGAATGACCAGGGGAAAAGAGAAGGCAGCAGAGGGGATGGAGAGAGATGGGCAGAGAAAGAAGGAGAGAGAAGTCAGAGAGAAAACTGATAGGATAAGTTTGATGGGCTAGGCAAAACAACCACAGCAACAATAATGCAGAACAAGTTTTCATTAGTTCCCCCCAGAGACGCAGTAAACAACATAAGGAACTAGGTATTCATTTTAGGCTGCCATTGATTTAGAAGGTCAGTACTTCCAACTAATCGTAAAACTGTATTTTAACCTCGGTAATTGATTTCAAAGACAGTAAGGCTATTGCACATTCTGCTGAAACATGTTGGCATCATGGTCAAATGGCCAATTAAAAGCTAAGGATGATGCAACCACTCCAAGTGGAAAATACCTGAAAAGTGATAGGAAGTCTACCTTTTCTTTTTTTGGTGATGAAATATCTATGGATGCTTCCATTGGAATACCAGAGTTTAGGGTGAGGGCTATATTGATTGGAAGAGACTTCCACATAATTAGCCAACAAATCCCATTCAGTAACACTTTCTCCATTACGTGTTACAGGATATATTGCCAGAGATACAAGTCATTTTATAGTGGAAGCCTTATGTTGATAAACGACAAAAAATAAATTCTGACCATAGGGGGAATGTATCAACCACAGTGGTCTTGATTACAACCCTTGAGCATAAACACTGCTGACTGTCATGTGGAAGCTTGTGGTACTGCTCTTTGGTCTCCAGAATTAATACCTTTCAGAAGAGAAGAATCCTTTTCTGACCTCTAATCAAGACAGAGCGGCAGTGGGTGACAGGGAGAATACTCCCTATGTATGGACAGGGCTTTTTCAGGAAACTGTATAACATACCTACTGTGGCTACAGACAGTGCTTGGGCTAATTCCACATGCTGAGAAGAGCTACTAGAAAATTAATAATTAAGATGTAGCTTATATATTTGGTATGGACATCATTGGTAAATGGAAATAAGACTAGACTGATCTAGGGATGCCTGAGTGGCTCAGTCAGTTAAGTGTCTGCCTTCAGCTCAGGTCATGATCTCAGGGTCCTGGGATTGAGCCCCACATCGCATCAGGCTCCCTGCTCAGCAGGGAGTCTGCTTCTCCCTCTCCCTCTGCCCCTCCCCCCAGCTTGTGTGTGCTCTCGTGCGTACTCTCTCTCTCTCTCTAATAAATAAATAAAATCCTTAAAAAAAAAAAGACTAGACTGATCTAAGAATTCCCATTATGGTAAAATACAGGTAGTCTTGAGCCAGCTGTGGAAGGTAATAGTTTCAAATTCACAGAAGTTTGTAAAATTAAGGACATTGTCTCATGCTTGTAGAAGGTAACAGTAATAAACAGAATAGACTTCAGTCATAACAAACACATGATTGCCTTTCACAATAGTGAAAATATGCACCCAGATAGAGAATTTACTTATAGTTCTTCATTTAGAGATAACAGGTCACCCAGGGGCTTTTCTTGCTTCATATGCATCACAATAATTACAAGTGTCTAGTACCTCTGTATTTAAGACTATTGGTTGGTTGGCTCCTTCTCAGTTTGTGGCTTCAAATTTGAAACTGTTTACTACAAAGAGGAAGATAGGAAGAGGAATATTAATCCTAACTAGGAGACAGTTCTTATGAGAATGGAACTGAGCAGTATGGTTGGAAATATATGCTGGAGTGTGTCTTCTTGGCTTTTTTTCTTTTTTCTCTCTTAACAGCTTTATTGAAATATAATTTACATGTCTTACAATTCATCAATGTAAATGTACAGCTCAATTATTTTTAGTAAATGTATATAGTTGTACAGCTATCACCACAATCCATTTTAAAACATGTCCATCATCCTCCCAAATTCCTGTGTGCCTGTTTGCAGTCAATCCGGCTCCTCTCCCCAACCCCTAGCCACTTGATCTATACTCTATCTCTATAGCTTTGCCTTTCCAGAAATTTCATATAAATAGAATCATACAATATGTGGCTTTTTGTGTCCCTCTTCTTTCACTTAGCATAATGTTTTTGAGGTTCATCTGTGTTGTTGCACGTATTAGTATATTCGTTTTTGTTGCCAAGCACTGCATTTCACTGTATGTCTATCTATTCACCAGCTGATGGACATGTGGATTGTTTCCAGGTTTGAGCTGTTGTGAACAGTGCTGCTTTCTGGCTTATTCTTGGCCTGGTGCTTCAGGTTGTGTGTGAGTCTTTGTGTGATGACCAAGGTGTAAAGGTCTGCATCACTGGTCCCTGAACTGTTTGAGGGAATGACAGTGTCCACACCATTTCATGACTCCAGGGTCTGGCTCCCAGTAGGGCTCTACTTCTGGAGCTGAACTCTAGTCAATCTTTTGTGACTTTAGAATTTTTGAAATATTTGGAAATTTGGATGTGAGTTTAAACAGTGGGAGGCTATAAAAAGAGGGAAACTAAGAAGTCAATCCCAACCCTAAAGAATGAATAAAAAAGTGGGTAACAAACACCTAAAAAATTGAGAGACTGGGAAACCAAGAACTAAACAGATCATACGTTCTGTTGGGTTTCTCACCCGTTCTGGTGATGGTTTTCTACTGTGATGTGTTCAGTCACTGTGATAAAAGTGCTGGAATGATATAGGAGATGGGAGAAAAAGAGGTGAAAAAACATAGGGACAACTTGCATTTCTTTTTCTCCTGTTTCGCCTTCTAGTGAATAAAGATGCTGTTACTCTTTGCATTGTGACTGCTCATCTGACAGTCTTCCCTGTGTTCTCTATTCCTGAAACAGGCAAAAATAAGGAAAAAGTGAAGGTCGCCAAAGTGAATTCTGAGTGTCCTCAAGGAAGAAAAACATCTTTTGGGGTTTTACAAAAAAATATATGTTGAAAAGAAAATGGCATCAAGGGGAGGTGATCTCATTAATAATAATAAAAAAAAAAGGGATGAGGTTCATAGAGATTATCTAAAGGCTCAAGGGCCACTGCTATTTTAAACTATCTTGAACAACAATAAAAAAAGATTTTAGAACAATTAAGAAGCAATGATGATCTGGTAAAAATAGGTATCTATAAAAAGCACTAAAGGGAACACTTGAAAAATGTGAACACACACATATCAGCAGGTCCTTGCGACATGCACTTGAGGGTGGGGAGAAATTAGTTTGAACATGAAAATTGTGTTGGTTTTCTTCTGCAGAGTCATGAAGTCCCAGGGAGGAAAGCAGGAACAAAAGTAGGAGAAAGAAAGAAAGAAGTGGGCCCTATGCCTTAAAACAGAAGTGAAGTAGAATCACTCTGGAAAGTCCAAATTAAGTTTGTGGTAAAAGAATGGAGGCGAAGATTAGGAGAGATGTTAGAAAAGCAGTTAATACCAACAAGAACATGAAATCCTGGGAGACTGCCAGTTAGGGGTTCCAAGGAGAAATCACCAAAGACAAAATCAATTACTTTTTTAGGACCCAACTTTAAGAAGTAAATACAATGAGAATGATTTCATTTCTAGGTTTGAGCCAACCAATTCTTTGTCAGTCTCAGGGGTAATTAGTGTGCTTGGGAGAGCGATTCAGAGTGGCCTGGCTCAGAGTGCCATCAAACAGATGGGACAGCCAGAAACAAAAGGTGCCGGCATATGGTGATGTATCTGTTGAGGAACTAGGAAGGTGCCTTGCAGATGCCTCTGGGATTGGAGAAAAATTGCCTCTTCAGAGACCACCTCTATGGGGAACTGGAAGGGCAGCCTAGAGGCTGAATAATGGTCTACCCAGCCAGCTCCAGAGCTTTCTTTATCCAAAACATGGCTCAAAATCCAATGTGTCCTACAATCTACAAGCACATAAAATTCCCAGCCTGAGAAATAATCTTAGAGTGCAAAAAGAAGAATTTGATCTAAATTCCATTAAAAAATTATGACAAGGGCTCACAAGCACTTTTGTATAATCTAAATTTGCAGAAAAATATGATAATTCAATCCAAAGTCTAAACTTAAAAAAATATCACCCATTCCAAAGGTGGCATAAAACTCTCCAAAACACATAGGGGTTGGTTTCAAAGATTGCAGGTTTTTGGTCTTATTCTCTATGGCTGCATGGAGTATGTCCAGATTCCTATACGTTTTTTTCCTTCTCATTAGTTTTAGTCACTATGTAGGTGGAAGAGGCCCTGATGACTGTGGTACATGTTCTGTTGGGAGTGATGGAGTGGGTCCCTGGATTTGTCATCAGATGGCAGATTTAGGAAGGAGGAGCTACATGAGCTCCTGATTGCAGAGCGTTAAGTGAAAAGGCTTCTACAGCCAGGTGTCCTCAGCCCCTCTTTGGAGCAGAGAGCCTGGCTCCACACGGAGTGAGGTCACCTTCTTGGTGGGGCTGGCATGCTCCTCTCTCTGGAACACTTCTCTCAGTGTCTGTCCTCTGACACCCTGGCTCCCCAGGCTGATGGTCATTTTCACCATGGCAGCTAACTTCCCTTCTGACTTGTGGGGGTGAAGGTAAAACCCACCGCTAAATAATCTGATGCATCTTCTGGTAGGAAGCAGGTGACGTCCCAAGTATTTTTCCTAGTCCTGTTTTTGTTTTTGTTTTTGAATCAAGGATAGAAAACAATATGGCTCAAAATGGTTCTAAAGAGGCCACTTCAATTGGTGAGTCCAGTTCTGGTCTTTATCCTAACAGTGGGGAGGCCACTCGAAGTATCGGCAGGCTGTTGGTGGCTCTTTCACCAGAATGTGCATCTGTGGTCCAGAGAAGAGCATCCCATCCTGTGTCTCCTTTGTTTATCATGCCCACCATTTTCTTGCCAGTTGAGGCCACTGCTGGTCTAACAACAAAGCCCAGTGACTTCCAACGTTCAGGGTTGCTTGTTAGCATAGGCCCTTAGAGGATCTTGCTACCAGTGAAAAACATACTTTTGCTGTTTTCCCAGCAGGATGATAGAAACCATGTGCAGCTCTGGGAGCAGTGCTCCTTAGGTAAGTGGTGCACAGACCTTTGGTTGCAGGGTAGGTTTGCTATCATTAGCTCTATGGCAGAATTTCACCATTTCATTCTCCCCCTGCCTCTTGGAATGCTATTGGTGAGAGCCACACCATCACACATACCCACTCTTGGGCTCTTTAACACTCAACCTCCCTGTGATTATCTGAGGAGTTTGGGTCTAAAGAGTCACTGAACATTTCAATACAACTGCATAAACTTGAGAGATAAACAGTCCAGCTCTTAAGTGGGACTTAGAATGAGCTCTAACAAAGCTACCCAATTAACATAAATTTATTGGTTCAGGGCTGGCTACAGACTAAACTGAATAAAAAGAAGGATTTGAATTCAAGGGGAAAATACTACTCATTGCATTATTTGGTATTCCTCTAAGCAAAGCTGGAAATCTCAGAATTTTAGCTGAAGGCAAGATCTGTTCTAATATTAAAGAGCTTCTGTTTTTTTTTAATATGACAGTTTATTTTATACAGTTATGACCCAAATAATTAGGAAGTTCTCTCCAGAGTGAAAAAAATGGTCTCTTAAACAGACTCTTTATCAAAAAAGTAAAAACAATTGTGTGAGTCTGTGATTATGGGTTTATAGTTTTTTGTTTGTTTGTTTTAGGACTATGGTCATGTAGTGGTGATCTAGAAACTACAAATACCCAGTCAATCCACCCAGTTAAACCAGATCATCCAGATCAGGTACTCTATTTTGGTTTCTGAGTATGAATAACCAATGTCACTCCTTGTTGTGTAGATCTGTCCCTCCTCACCATCCTAAAGCAAGAGGGGTCAAATTTAATTTAATGCCTGGGCTGAATGGGAAGGAGAAGCAGTACAGATGGAGAGAAATGAAGTATCTTTTAAAGCTTCAGACCTTTCTCCAACAAGAAGCCAAAAACCAAGATGAAAGGTCTTGTTGTTGGAAAAAACAATCACATAAATTTAACACTTCTAACCCCTTTGGGGGGAAGTATTTTTTTCAACAAGTTTTTATGTTAAACTACTTTATGTGTCTGTTTAAAAGTTTTGTCAATTCCTGTTTAAATGATTTTTTTAAAGGTGCCACTGAGATTTTAGTAACCTAAGACAACAGTTTGTAGCGTATCCCACAAGCCAAAACTTTGGTCCTATTCAGAGAAGTGCTTACTGGGTCAGCATTGCTTGCTAAATATATTGACTTATGGAAGGACCACAGGGAGAGAAGTCTCAACAGGGCCCCCCTGTGACAGGGGGCCAGGAGGTTCTACCTATGAAGGGAGAAGCAGAAAACCCTGAGCACAGAAGAGCCAAGATTAGCCCCGAGGGGTAGACAGAACCCAACATTGTGACTGAGGTATTTACTGGCTGCAGGCAAAGCTGCCTTCCTGAAAGGGAAGCGACAATCAATACTGAAGGACCAAGGAACAGAGATACACACCCTCACTACGTCAGTTCTGATTCTTAAATTAAAATACTCCAGGTTGTCTAGGTGATGTTTCTTGATTCACACAGCTCATTTAAGCTTTAGTAGTGCTGGACGGGAACTTGCATTTAGCTGTTTTAACAGAGATCTATTGTATTAGAAAAAAACTAACCGAGAGGAAAAGAATACCAATCTCTGCCTCTCACTTATCCATGGAATGAAAAGATGAGTACTTGAATGGAGGAGGCCTTCCCTAGTACCACTGGTCATGTGGTAGCAGTTCATGCCGTTACAAGGAAAGTAGCGATGAGACAGGGAAGCTTCTTGAGAGCTGTCCACTCACATCTTCCCTTACCTGCTATGCCCTCCTGGTTGTAGCAGGTCTTATGCATCTTCCCCATGAAGAGCTCCAGGCCAATGATAGCATAGATGATGATGACGAACAGCACTAGCAGGGCAATATGCAGCAGGGGCACCATGGCCTTGATAATGGAATTCAGAACCACCTGGAGACCTACAATGACAAAATCAGACAGTAATAGTGAGCACATCAGCTTCCATTTATTGAACCAAGTGCTTTCCTGGATGTCATACTGACATAATCTCATGCAATCTTCTTAGCAACTCTACCAGTGATGTATCACAAGCCCCATTTTTTAGATGAGGAAAGTGAGGCTTAAAGTCACACAGTGAGCGAATGACAAAGCAGGGATTGGTATCTAGGTTGGCCTGACTCCAAATCTTTCTTGGAGGCACGTCCAAATGAAAGGACTGGCAGATGCTGTGCTTCTAAGGGGAAGAACATATTGTTTTATCCAGAACTATCCAATTTCCTAATATCCTGTCTTAGAGACAACCTAGCATCTTTTTATCCTAGACCAGCATCTCACTATAGTGAGAGTTAACTTTGACTAGAGATAGCCCTGCAAGGACTTGCTTATCACTCAAGGTGGGATTCCTAGAGCCGATGGCTGACCCATCTGCTAGAAAACACAAATCTGGTTGCTAGGCATCTGGGAGGGTGGGACTTCCTTTGTTGAAACTGATTCATACCCCCAGGATACATGTAGGTGGTTAGACCTCTGTGGGACCTTCTCTCCAGAGATTACGTGAGTGGACCTCTCTTCCTACAGATTTCTGACCAGGCCCCTTTCCCTCAGTGCCCAAATCTGAAGAATATTACATCCTTCCATTCAAAAACCCCAATGAAGGGAGTTCATGTTTAATGTGTATGTACTTTCCATTTGGGAAGATGAAAAATTTCTGGAGATGGGTAGTGGTGATGGTTGCACAATGTGAATATACTTAGTGCCACTGAACCATACACTTAAGATAGTTATAATGGCAAATTTTGATATGGATACATTACCACAATAAAAACTGAAAGTACCCAGATCCTGTCAAGAAAAAAAAGTAAATGAAAAATCCTATTTAGCACATGGGTCTTGTCAGTGTCCCCAAAAGTGTAGGCTTGTACTGCTGTCTTATGGGAAAAAGCACCCCTAACTTATTTTTTTCCTGCTTTCTCTCTTTTTTTTTCTTACTTTTTTAAAAATTTAATTAAAAAAATTTTTTTTCAAGATTTCAGGACATGTTTAATTTATAGTTATAGGCAGGGCTAATAGGTCTAGAATAAATTCCCCTGATGTCTTCGGACAGCATTTGGAGATGACAGTATGTTTATTTACACTTTACTTTAAAAATAGTTTCTTGGTCAAATTGTTCATCATCTAAGAATGTCTCAAGAAAAGATTGTGTGTTAGGATAAGGATAGCTGGAGGAACTGTAAGTAAAACAGAATTTTTTATTTTTTTTTTTAATTTAAATTCAATTAACATATAATGTATTATTTGTTTCAGGGGTACAGGTCTGTGATTCATAAGTCTGATATAATATCCAGTGCTCATTACAACACATACCCTCCCCAATGTCCATCACCCAGTTACCCCATCCCTCCACCCCCATTCTCTCCAGCAACCCTCAGTTTGTTTCCTATGATTAAGAGTCTCTTGTGGTTTGTCTCCCTCTCTGGTTTCATCTTGTTTCATTTTTTCCTCTCTTCCCCTATGATCCTCTGCCTTGTTTCTTAAATTCCACATATCAGTGAGATCATACAATAATTGCCTTTCTCTGACTGACTTATTTCACTTAGCATAATACCCTCTAGTTCCATCCATGTCGTTGCAAATGGCAAGATTTCATTTTTTTTTTGATGGCTGTGTAATAGGACCCCTTAACTTACAAGCTCAACCATAAATGACACCAAGAATTCTCTTTGTTTAAAAGGGATGTTACAAGTTTTCATTGATGCATCTGTGCATCATACCACACAAGGTGCTTTTAGTGTCTCCACCTGATGTACCCACCCAGCTGTGGACACCCTTCCACTGCCCTGTGCATTGGGAGTTTCACCTTCATATTCACCCACAGCCCTCCCTCTGCACTGGATAAACAAAGTCTGGGTTACCCTCTCCCCAGGCCCCAAGGCAGCCATTGGTGTTTTGTGATTTGGTGGAGTGATTTTCACAAGGCTAATTAGAGGAATTCTCCCCAGTTATTAAGCTAAGATGGGGAGAGGGAAAAAAAATTAAAAGAAGAGAAAAGCTGGAATAATTTTACCTGTGAGTTAATGAGAGTGCTTTGCAGCCTCCCATTAGAACAAGATGTTTTCAGATCCAAATGATTTCATTAATTAGCAAGTTGTACACACATTAGTGCTAAAGTATGCGAAGCCATGGAGGAAGTTGAAAACTGAACTGCAAAGCAAGTTTCAGAGGTGTCTGCTGGCGTGGGGTGGGGGGGGGGGCGCTCTAAGTGCTACTCACTGAAGGGGAGGAAGGCCTCCCAATCCCGCCCACCCAGACCATCAGCGAGCCTTGTTATCAGGCCTTCCGTGCCATAGCCTGCAGTGGTGAGAAAGCGGTGGGAGACATAGAATGGGAACCTCTCCTCTGTGCCACAGCCAGAAGTTCTGCTCTTAAAGACCAGAGTCCTTCTCGTGCCCTTCAAAGTGTGGCACAAGGGCTGGACCCCTATCTACTTCTCTGTCCACTCCCATCCCCTGCCCCTCACCCTCTGCATTCCTGGTCAAAACAGCTTTTCTTTTAGCCTCAAATATCCCATACTGGCAGACCTCAGAGATCTTGAGGGTTCGGTTCCAGACCACGGCAATGAAATGAATACTGCATTAACGCAAGTCAAATGCATGTTTTGCTTTCCCAGGGCATGTAAAAGTTATGTTTACATGATGCTGGAGTAAAGTGTACAATAGCATTATCTCTAAAAAACCAACATACACACCTTAATTTAAAAATACTTTATTGCTAAACAATGCTAACCATCATCTGAGCTTTCAGTGAGTCATAATCACTGATTACAGATCACCATAACAAATAAAATAATAAAAAAAAGTTTGAAATATTGTGAGAATTACCCAAGAATTACACAGAGACACAAAGTGAGCAAATGTTGCTGGGAAAATGGCTTGATAGACTTGCTGGACACAGTCCCTTTCTCAATTTGTAAAAAAAAGATGCAGCATTTGCAAGCACAATAATACGAAGTGCAATAAAACGAGGTATGCCTGCACCTCCTCCTCCACAGGGCTGTGAAGCATGCTGTTCCCTTGGCTGGAAGTCTCTCCCACGGTTCCCTCCTACTTATCCTTCAGCTAGGATGTGAATGGACAGGTGAGTTTCAGGGGCCAGCAAACTCAGGCCAGCAAACTCAGGCGGAGACTACTGAGTGGGCTACAGAGAGGTCAAAAAGAAGCCACAGCAGCCCGTGGGCTTCCTTCCAGCCATCAGGGATGCCATCAGAGTTCTGAAGTAATGCTCTGTTCCCCCGTCCCTATCTCAGCAGGAGGCTGTACCACCCACCTGAGCACCCAGGCCAGAAACCTGATTGCTGAAGCTCTTCCCTCTAACTGGTTATCAAGTCATGCAGTTTGATTTTGAAGTGTCTTCAGACAGGAATGAATTATTTTTACTATATAAATAACAGGAAAAATCATGTATTATAGGGAAAACAGAAAATGATAGAGAAAATAGAAAATACTTATGACAGAGAAATTACAAAACATGGGAAGCAAAAAGAAGAAGGAAATCATCCCTTATTCCACCACCCAGAGATAACCACTGTTAGCCTTTGGCATATATTGTGGACATTTTGGTTTATGACTTGTTTTCCTCTTCTTTGTCCTCTTGGTGTTCTTCATTCAGTTAATGGTTTCTTTATGTCCAGTTTTGCCTGATCTTCTTGCTGCGGTTAGAAAGCTCATGCTAAAGCACAAACCAGAACCTGTTGCTCCTCTGATGAAAAGTCCTTCCATGACCCTCATCACCTATAGGTAAAACCCACCTGCCTCCTTTTGTAGTTTCATCACATCTGATTCCAGTTTACACCTTCCATTCCAAGAATATACTGAATTGTCTGAAGTTCTCTAGCTTCATGCCTCCACTGTTCCACCTGTCTAGAATGCCATTCCCTGCAGCCTCAGTGCATCTTCTCATCTTTGTATCTCAGCACATGACTCAATGCACATGGAGCTAAATCACATTTGTAAGCACAGGCTGCCTTAGAAAACAGAAACCATAATGATCTGACAATACAACTTCAGTTTCTTCTAAAGATTATTGAAGAAACTGAAGTTGTATTGTCAGGAAAAGATAAGACTCATGGAATGGGAAAAGCACAGGCAGGGAGGGTGATATCAGCGACTTCCACATTATTTAAACTGCTATTTTGAGGAAAAGGAGTTAGATGAGTTTGATGTAACCATATGGATGGAACTGGGACTAACTAGGAAGTTTCCAGGAAAGATTTAGATTCAACAGAAATGAAAATTATCAAAAAACCAGATCTATCTGAAGGTGGAGTGGGATGTTTTAAGAGGTAGTGGAATAGCCAAATTATGGAAAGAGCCCAGATGTCCATGGACAGATGAATGGATAAAGAAGATGTGAGATATATATATATACAATGGAATATTACTCAGTCATCAAAAAGAATGAAATCTTGCCATTTGCAACAACGTGGAAGGAACTAGAGGGTATCATGCTAAGTGAAATAAGTCAGCCAGAGAAAGACAAATACCATATGATTTCACTCATATGTGGAATTTAAGAAACAAAACAGGTGAACATAGGGGAAGGGAAGGAAAAATAAAATAAGATGAAATCAGAGAAGGAGACAAACCATAAAAGACTCTTAACTCTAGGAAACAAACTGAGAGTTGCCGTAGGGGAAGGAGGTGGGGGATGGGGTAACTATAACTGGGTGTTATGTGCAAGGCTGATGAATCACTAAATTCTACCCCTGAAATTAATAATACACTCTCTGTTAACTAAATTGAATTTAAATACAAAATTAAAAAAAAGTAGTGGGCTCTCCATCCTCAGATGTGTCCAAGCATTGACTGAACAAGTTCTTGGAGGAGGTGCTTTGTGGGCATTCAGACATGGGGTGAAGATTTGCCTGGGCACACCAATGCCCCCAATTTCCTCATTAACCTGT